TCCTATATTCGAAAAGAAACTCTAATAATTTATCTTCTATTTCTTTAGTATGGATTATTTCGTTAGCAAGCATCGATTTAATCATTTTCTTACATGTTTTTACTGAATTCTCCGCTTGGCCATTACTACAAGGATGATATACAGGCGATGTCAAATATTGTATTCCATTATTTTTACAAAATAAAATGAACTCATTAGAAGAAATTTTAGGATCATTATCAGATACAATTACTTTGGGAATATACCGAAGTAAGAAAATATAAATTTAAGTTTTGTAATGAGTGCTGTCGTCGAAGTGCCACGGTGCATCGGTATACATTCCAGCCACTTACTAAACGTGTCAATAACAACTAAATACGTGGCTTGCTTAATCGTCATATAGTCTAAATGCAAGCGGTGCCGCGGACGCGGGGGGCGCGGCCAGGCGGCGAGCGGCGCGCGCGGCGGCGCGGCGCGCGTTTCGGAACACGCGGCGCACGCACCCACCCAGCGCTCGATGTCGGCGTCAATCCGTCAATACCGGCCCACCACATTCTACTGCGCGCGTTACTTTTAGTTTTAATAACTCCGAAATGCGCACAGTGCAACTCTTCTAACATACGCCGTTTATAAACATCCGGTATGACTATCCGATCGCCCCGGAAAAGACACCCACCGTTAATTTCTAAATCACCCTTGCAATTAAAATACGGTTGTATTTGTTTACATTTCATTTTTCGCGGCCAACCATTATTCATATATTTAATGACAGTTTGAAGAACTTTATCATTAGCTGTAGCAAGGCGTATATCTTGAAAAGAAACCGGTTCTATATTAGCGTTTAGAAACAATAAAAAACGACTGCTATCATCTTCGCACGCACTGTCCACGGAAGGTAAGGGAGCGCGCAAAAAATAATCCGCTACTGCATTATTTTTACTATTTACATACTGCACTGTATAATTATATGCTGACAGAATAATCGCATATCTTTGTAACCGCATTGCGGCCGTTACTGAGATGCCATTTTTCTTACCGAATATAGACAAAAGCGGCCTGTGATCAGTTTTTAATATAAAAGGCTTTTGTCGACCAAACAAATATTGGTGAAATTTTTTTACACCAAATATAATAGCGGTGGCTGAATTTGGCTATAATTTTTTTCGCTTGCCGATAGTGAGCGAGAGGCGAACGCGATGGGCCTCTCGTGGCCAGTGGCATCGCGATGCGCTAGCACAGCTCCCAAACCCGCCGGCCCCGCGTCAACGCTTAACACAAGCGGCGCGTCCGGCAAAAAGTGAGACAGCACGCGCTCGCCGCTTAACTCCCTGCACCGCGTCGAACGCTTCACGTTGCTCTGCGCCCCACTCCCACTGCGCACCATTGCGGAGCAATTTGTGTAAAGGGTGGAGTAGGGACGAAGCGTTCGGTATAAAACATCGATAATAATTAACTACACCTAAAAATCTT